TGGTATAGTAATTAATCTTTTTTGGATTTAAAGAATTTTTGTACATCTTTTGAAATAAATTCTGTACCTTTATCAGATTGTATGTGCGTAGGTGTTAAATTACTTTCAGTAAATATACTTTCAAAACATTCTTTAGTTGTTTCTGAGTTTTTCTTTTTCATTGGTCTTGCAAAAGCATATTTACTAAATACATCAATAACACAAAGTATATACTTGAAACCATCATTATATTGAGAATAAGTTCGCATATCACTTAAATCAGCTTGCCACAGTCCATTAATATTTGATAGAATGTACCTATTACGCGGGAATTTTTTTCGAATGGGTTTATGTAATGTGTATGTTTCTTGTGATTTTAACCATTCCTTTACTTGCTTTTTATTCATCTTACCATTCATGGCTTTTGATAATTTATCAATACTACCAAAACCAGCGGGATTAGATGGATCATAATAAATCCTGTTAATTTCTTCTAGTACGAGGTCCATTTTTCCCACTCAAGCCTTTTACGTATTTTAGTTGTAGACTTTTTATCTCTACTGCTCGGTGTAGAAAACTCTATTTTAGTTATAGATTTTGTATCTCCTCTACTTGGTGTAAAAAACTCTTGAACTGAATCTCAGAGGGTTTGTTCAGATCTCTTGCTTGAAGTTGGTTAATAAACTCACATCTCTTTGGATTTCCAATATAAGTAAGTGGTACTTTAATATCTTTTAATGCTTCAGCAAATCTATCCCACCCTACTGGATCACTTCTTTTTAAGGATCTTAGTGAATCATTTATTAAATCAACAATATTGCTTCCAGGATTTTTTTCATTATCAATTATGACTGTACCTACATTATCCAAATGTATTTTACTTTTACTTGTTTCAACTAAGTTTAATAATAACTGTCCCTTTTTATTATAAGTTTTTGGTATTAAACTGAGTATTTGAGCTGGTGTGTAAAGTGGATTTTCATCATTTTCTTTACTTTTAATGAATCGATTCTCCTCCAACAAAGATTCAGAACCAACTGAATTTTTTAGATCTCTATCTTTATTTTTAAAACCAATTTTAGACTTATTTGAATCTTCATTAGATATATCAGAATAAATTGGTAATCTGAGTGGTTGACGATCCTCTTCGATAAAATGAAGGTATCTTTGCAGTGTTTGTAAATATAACATCCATTTCTTTCGGTCTTCTCTCTTACTATTCATAATATTTTGCATTTCAATATCTATTCGAGATAAATTACTATTAACCTTATTTTCTTGTTTTAATTTTTCAATCAATCCAGGTTCGATAAGTATCATTTTCTTTGCATTTTCCATGTTAACTGTCTAGTTCAATCACTAATCCACTCAATATTGCACCTAATATTATTGGTAAGAAAGCCCCTCCTTTTTGTATAATTATATTTTTTCTTAGTTTATGTTCACACTTACGCACTAGTTTACGGAGTATATTTTTGTGTTTATTAAATTTTTGTTTATCTTGATCTTTAAGAGGTACTTTTCCTTGTAAAACATTATGAATACACTCACAAATACAGTTAATTTCTTCTTCATCACACGTTTTAGGTAATGCTCTTTGATATTTTGGTTTAAGCGTATGCAAAGCGTTTAGCAAATGTTTATGCGTTGTGAGTCGACGATGCATCATTTAGCAATGATTTGAATTGTTTGATTCTTGGTGTATTTAAACTCTTTTGTGGGGACGTAGACTGTACAGAAACCATTAAATGGGAAGACATTTGTCTTGATACGACAAAAATCATTGGTATTCTGTTTTAAATCTACCACATTAAATATCCATGTGCCTCTAAAGTTGCATCCCTGTAGGCATCTTCAATGAATTTTGGGTGACTTGGTGACACTTGTCGTGCTAAATATCTTATTTGAGTTTTACCTCGAGGGTTTTTAAAATATATTATATAACTTGAAATTAAAGATATGTCTCTGTGCCCTTTACCCCGATGAAATAAATTTTGTGTTAAATAAAATACACTGAGATTCCTGTGATGACTACCTTTTGTAAATATATCCACAATTCTTCCATCGGACTCTCTCATTAGATCATCAATAATAACGAGATGTGGGCTTTCACCATCAAACATATTAAGATTTGGAATTCCTTGATGATAGTTAACATTTGATAAATTATATAAAGGTTGCATTTCATCAAAGTACCATGTGATCTGACTAAAATCACAATCACATATTTCTGTAACTGATTTTATGAAATTTGTTACAAAATTTGACTTCCCACATCCACTTGGTCCTGCCACAATAGCAGTAAACGGATGTATAAAGTGAAACATTACACACGTCTAAAGTTCTAAGGGGCGAAATAAAAAATGAAATTGTTGGTGTAAACAATTAATATATGTATATTGTATACTATAACTAATGTTTTTGGTAAATCAAACAAAATTTATGATTAATTGAAAATTTTATTTTCAAGCAATAACCACTTGTAAAAAACCCACACTTCGTCACAAGAACAATGTAAAATTTTGTGATTATTTTTTGCAAATATATGATTATTACACACATAACATTTGTTTAAAATGACATTTACCAAATCATTGTATTTTGGACATTTGTATTCTTCAATATTAAAAATTCTATCATTCGTCGTCAACATTTTTAAAAATTGTTTTTCTGTTGAACCACCTTTGTATGCGATCACTTCGTCTTTGTACAAATTTCTAATATACCAATTTAATATGGGAATGATTCTCTTGTTTGTAGGCACATTTTAATTCTTCGGTCGCATCAAAATATGGAATGCCGTACACGTGTGTTTCACAATAACGAACAGTTTTTTGTCTTTTGGCGACAAATAATTGAAAGGATAACTTGGCGGAAACAAATAATGATCGATTAACGCATCATTTTTATTAGATAGTTTTACGTCTAGAATAGCAATTTCTCTACATTGAAAATGTTTATGAGGATATGTAATGTAAAATCCGTCGATGATGTATCTAATATTTTTTAGATTTTGTGTCATTTTGATCCAAAATGTTAAAAGTATTTACACGTGACTAAAAATATGTTTGTTCCAATAAACTTCACATAACAATGCTTCATTACTTCCCATCATCCCATTTCTTCCTTCTGCTCTTGTCTTCCTGTAATTTAAGTAAACAGAATCACATTCACTAATGATCAACTAATGACTGTCATTGTTAAAAAAGTATTTTTTAACTACTCTAGTATTCGTAGATGTGGTACACATACAATATTTAAATATAATTTGTTAACACTAAATCATACACACGTAAGAAAATAACAGAAAGAAAAGTAAGTTTGTCAATAGAATAAACACTTAAAATTGCAATTAACAATTTAATTGGTGCCGGCGGGGATCGAACCCGGGTCGCGTACTGTGAAATTTACAGCTTGCGCTAACCATCTGAGCTAACACGGCTTAATCATATACACACACAATATTTAAATATAATTTGTTAACACTAAATCATACACACGTAAGAAAATAACAGAAAGAAAAGTAAGTTTGTTAATAGAATAAACACTTACATCCATGGCCTTTGATGCGTTGAAGTAACACAAATGTAGTATTGATAGATCCACTGCGGTCAAACGACCATACACTAACTCCATGACTGCACTTGCTTGGTCTTATATAGTACCAGTAAGTAATAATTCTAATCTAAAGAATTTCTGCAGTGGAATTGATAGTAACTTTATGCGTCAACAAGCTTATCTCACATTTTGTTGCTTATCTCAACATTACTTCGTGTTGCGTCTTGTTCAGTGTGTTGATGACTCAAATACTTTTGTATAATTCAAAATAATGCAATTTAATATTTCGAAATCACTATAATTGATCATTCCTATGTTAGTCATTGAGTAGATTGTACTGTAATAATCTACTAATATCAGTAATATCATGGATACACTAGATGTACAACAACATCTGAAAAAGATTAACCCCAGTCTAGAAAATAATGTTTATGCTGCCAATAGACTGCCCATGTACACCCACGTGCCAACGTATATAGTATGCAATTTGGATACAGATGATAATATACTTATATAATAACCCAGGGTCACATTGGGTAGCTTTATATATCGATACGAATGACGTCGGTCAATATTTTGATTCATACGGACGAGCACCTGTACGATATCATCTAGTTTTTAAAAAGGAATTGTAAAAGATGGAACTGGAATGTTGATAGGATTCAGAATGAGTGGACTTCAGTTTGTGGCGAATATTGCTTAATGTATTTGCTATATAAGTTTCAGGGATGTTCAATGCATACTTTTACGAGTATATTTACAGGGAACACATTGTACAACGATATTTTAGTGGATGAGATGTTTCGCCCCTATTTTATAGATAATAAGTAATAAGATTTTGTATTTCGTAAATAAAAATTGTAACAAAATTAGGTAATGTGTTTTATTGATGATTCAGATTAGTGTTGTAGATAGGAACAAAGGAGTATAATACAATAGCACTGATAAGCCGACGCACACGCTGACGAATAATAGATAATGACGGTATTCAATGAGCAATAGATAAGAACAATGAAGCGCTAATGACGGTGGAGGCTCTCACCGGATATTAATTAGATAAGAGTTAATTGATCTGCACATCTCCGGAACCGTGCATCCTACGCAAAAATGGACCGCAGATTCGTGGTCAGAGCATGCCAAAAACTTTTTTTTTATTAGGATCGTGAGTCGACGAACATTGTACTTGTATTAACTAACTACTAACCAGAGTGACCGACATAGCTGTCACTCTGGTCCTACTGCGTATTGATTGTAAAAGATATTACATTACATTTAGGCAGACTTATGTAAAGCTTATTATCTAAACAGTATTGTTGCAATTTGATAAAATCTGTCAAGATCTTTTCGAAAAATTTATTATGGTTGTTTATCCATTGATATTTGCAATAAAATTTATGTCTACATAAGTTTTTTAAATATATTACATTGTTGTAAATGTTCATTGTCTTTTACTGAAATTGAATATGCTTAGTTTTGGGATAGAAATCATTCATGTAACACTAGAACAACCTTTCTGGTTTCAGCGCTATTACGAATTCACTCCAGAAGAAATAAAGGCTTTAGAGGAATGCGACAAGGAAAGCTTTTACCAACGTTGCTTACCTTTTAGTACATTGTTTGCTACCATGACCTATGCAGCTATACGAACTGGTAAGATTTTTTATTTTAAATTATTTGAGAATATGTGGAAATTCATGGAAGTAAGAATGTTATTAGTTTTTTTTGCTTTTTTTTCGAATTTGTGTATAGTTATTTTATTTAAGTCCGTTTAAAGTTATTCTTACTTCTATGAATATTTTCTAGGCCACCTGAGCAGAAGTCCCCACTTCGGTTCGGTGCCAAAGGTAATGTTAGCAATTTTGTTCGGTCATGTGTGTGGTCGACTTTCGTACATGAAGAACTGTGACGCCAAGCTACGACTTTTGCCTGATGGGAGTCATCTTGGTGATGTTATGCGACAATATCATTCACAAAACTCAAGTCTGGTTCCGGAAAAACACTGAAGTATTTTAAACGCATCCCGTATACAACAGCACGGATTCTTCACTATTTGAAATTATATATTACATTCTAGTAAGGTATTTAAATATCTAAGTATATTCAGAGTATATCTTATGATGATGCAATAGATATTGCTTTATTTTTTGTGGAATTCCAAACACTCAGTAAAAAAATTACTACTTATATATTTCAATCTGTATACATTTCGATAGATATATATTTCATGTTTGTAACCGTGAAAGAAATATATTAAATATTAAAAAGTTGCATATACCATCTAAGTATGTTTTATTGAAGTATACTTTAAAAAAGGAAATTACAAATATTTCATTGCTGTAAAGATAATGAAATATGTTAGCTTTAATAAATTTAATAAATTGAAGTTGAATTTAATTTAACCGCAACACTCGTAAATCATTTGTGAAACTCGCGTTTTTTTTTTTTATAAAATAATCATCACAAAATAAACATAATTTTAAACGTAAAAATAAACTAAACTGTAATATTATACCTTTAGTTTATTCTCCTCGTTAGATTTAGTTAGATTTATATCATTATAAATTTACTTATTATTTGTAAAGGAAAACTATGCATGATAATTATATTAAATATTTGCAGTATTTTTTTGTATCTCACTTTAAGTTTTTTTAATTAAAAGTATATAGGATTCAATTTTCTATTGCCCTACGCGTGTCGCCAGGTCGTAGCTCTCACACATAGACAAACAATAAATACACAATTACGCCTACAAACATATCTAGCATTCATGCAACAAACTATTATATAAACTATTGCGTTAAGGAATATTTTATAAAAATGCAAAATCTCAGAAGGCGTAGCCACTCGGTCCAATAATTAAAGTGTGCGAAAAACAGAGAATGACATTACGCGCTCGCTCTCACTTGGGCACAGTGCAACGCAATGGACGTTTCGATAACTTGATTTGATAATGTTGATCTTCCAGGAGTCTCAAACCAAGATATAACTAATTAACTAAAATTGTCTCAGTAATTTAGAGCTTTTAGTCTTAGCTTTAGCTTTTAGCCGTTTTATAATTAGAAAATAAAAGGGGATATAATAATACGTTAAGAATAAATGTATCCATTTATCTTTAATAACCGGATCTTTTGGAAACTTGTAATAAAATCATTGTATTAAATAAACAAATGTATAAATAAAATGAATACAACATTATACAAACAGCAAACGAATAAATATATGCATGGGTGACATATTTATCATTTTTTATTAATTTTAAAGTTCTGTAACTGACTTTCTGTTGTTTGCTACTTTTCAGTTTCCCAGCTTCTTACAGATCGAATTGACTACTATCGTTTCAATATAATTACTTATCCTTACAATATATTTGATTAAAAATTTATCTGTACCAACAAACAGATAATCGCCGATAAACGGTTAACGGTATAAAATATTTAGAAAGAAAAAAGTAGAAAGGTGTAAATCAATATTTAACGAAAAATCACATTTAATTCTCCTTTCGTTAAAACTAGGTAAGCCAAACATAATAAATTATCGATACAAAATAGTTGTGTCGCGTAACTGACTTGCATTCGACTCCTGCGGCCATGTTCTAGGAAATTTACTTACGCAACAATTTTGTTTCTTGCCCATACCATAAATCCATCGCTGATTTTAGCTGTCGCACTCGTAGACATGAACTAGCTTAGGAATCAATGTATAATGAAATGTGAAAACAATTAAAATTTCGGAGACAATCGTAGTACTGGAGGTGGATAAATTTATTTAAGTATATTTCATTAAACATAACATTATTTAAAACCCTAAGTACTTATTTATGAAATGTTATCCCTTTATTTGAAAATTTGCAAGTTGTGGAGGAATTTTCGCAGTTGAATATGCTTCAAAACACCATTTTTACGTCTCTGCGTCCGAAACAGTACTGGTTACCGAAACAAACGCTCCTCGCGCGCTTTTACGACTTTTATTTATATTTAGATTTCTGTGGGGTTTTCACTTGGTTTGCCAGATCGGAAGACCAAAATATAGTGGGATAGACGACTTTTTCGAGGAGTACCAATAAGGAGTACCAACTCCCATAGTAGAATAGTTGAAAAAGTGTCCATCATCTCTAAGCAGTAAATAACACTTCAAAAACTCTCCACAACAGCGCTGGAGTAGCTACTGAGATTAAATGAACTTAGCTGTTGTCGACGGTTTAAGTGTGCTGCTAAACTGCTCAGTAAGTCTAAAATCTAAAATAATTTTATTTAGTAAATATAACCTCGAAAAAGTCGTCTATCCTCAGTAATGTCATATCTACCAACTTTTTGGTAGATCTACCAATTTTCACTTCAGTCTACCTATCTACCACCCTAGACCTAAAAACTACCTATTTTATTAATTAGTTTGACATATCACCACTTTGAATTATTTTTATATCGACGAGCGACGTGGCGATGTGTTTCGTGAGCCATGCGACGATGCGTCAAGCGGTCCCGCATACATAGAGTCCAGGCTATAAACGAAGCCCAAAACGTCTGGGTGACTATAAAGAATTCCAGTCCTTTCTGGATATAAAACCCCACAAACTTCTACACACAGCTCGAACAAGATGGCTGTCTCTACTTCATGTGGTCAAACGGCTTTTAGAACAGCTTCCAGCTTTAAAGTTATACTTCCAAAATGCTGTTTTGAATGACAGGCTACTTGCAGCTCAGACCATCCATGTGAAGTCCATGGATTCTTCAACAGAGCTATACTTAAATTTTTTGAATTATGTGTTGCTCTATTTCCATGACATTAATAAAGAAATGCAATCAGAAAGTCCTAAACTATATTTGTGATATGAACGAATTTTTACGACATACAAAACTATCGTGGAATGTTTTATTATACTAGAATAATTGCAGCTGACTGAAGATGAAATTTTTTTCATACTTGCTACTTTTTAGTAGCAAGGATCTTAACTTGGATTTATAGAACAAAATTTTGAAATAATACTAGTTTTTACGAAATTTATCACGTATATTTAACTTTTTAAATACCAGAAACGCTTTACAGCACTCATGGTCACGGGCGGGACTGAGATGTTCAACGTCCAGATGTCATAGTTAACCGCGGTTACCATAGATTAAAATTTAACTTTTGTTTCGATCTACACAAAGTTAAATTTTAATCTATGGTATGCTATGGTATCGTAGACAGAGAAACCTATAGACAAATTGACGCCTTCTTTCGCATTCGCACACGAAAAATATAGATTTATGCATACGTCTTGCATAGAAATGAGATAGAGCGGTGTGATTATTTGTCCCTTTCTCCGTGCCGGTTTTTTTGTTTAGCAAATGTAGAGTTTGCAAACAACTTCAACAGCGTAGCGATTTAAGGAGTTGAAAAGTTGGTTTAAGTGAGAAAAAAGTGTTTTGTGACCTTAAGATTGGTGAATCTTGTTCAGTTCAGTTCTTAGAACAATTAAAATTTTTATCTAAATGTGTTTAAAAGTCATAAAGATTATTGTATACCTAACCTAAAAATTCGTTATCGTCCTTTCTCACTCGAGGCCACGCCGATCAATAGTCTATAGGTTTCTCTGTCTATGTATGGTATGGTGTTCTGTGCACCTGACCATGAGTGCTGTAAAGCGTTTGAAACGTCGGGTATTTAAAAAGTTAAATATACGCGATAAATTCCGTAAAAACTAGTATTATTTCAATGTGTAGTGTTCGCGTAAATATAAGAAATCATTACAAAATTTTGAATTTAGAATATGAAAATAAACAAAACCATGTACCAATTGAAGAAATATACCTTGGTGGCAATGTTATTTCCCTGTTGTTGAAACAATACTTTGTGGCTAGAATGAATGAAATGGAAATAGTACAGTTTAAATAAAAAAATGCATTCTCTTTTATATGGAGAGTATAAAACAAATAAAGCAGTGTTTTTGTTTTGATGAAAAGCAAAGATTAAAATGTCTTAAATTTATGAATCCTAAATATATCATTGAAAAACATGCAGTCACAACTATTGCTCATTTAGGAGTTCAGTTTCCAGGCAAGTTAAACATAATTAATTATTAATGTTGTCTACTCTAGAATATTTTTTTATATACATACATTACATTTTTATTTTTAGGGCTATTCTCAGAAATAATGAACGAATTGAACAGAAACACGACATTTCATTTCACAGAAAAAAATGTGGATCCTACACCTGAAGAAATCTGGAAGCATGTTTCATCCATTAAAAAAGGAGACCAGTCTCCAATGTTTTGCCTGCTATGCGAATTCTCTTCCACATACTAGCGCCAACGTTGAGAGATTGATTAATAATATGAAAACCTTCCAGAGAAATAGAATTTGCACGGAGACTCTAGAGGGATTATAGTGTTCTAAAAGATTCATAGCAAACAACGAGCAGCCTAGCGCAGAAAATTTAAAATTTTTCAATAAAAATATGTATTGTTTTCAAAAATAAAATTTTTTTGAGCTGTTTTACATTTTTAATCTTAAAAAATATTCTAAATTGAGGTGGTAGATCTGCCAATTTTGGATTTTACATTCTACCAACTTCTACCATCTAGCGCATAATCTACTAATTTTCTAAAATTCGGGTTGGCAACGTTGTCTACCCTACTAATATTTTTCGTTGCGTTCTTTAAAATTTACCCCGAAGTTGTAGTGGCGCCACCCTTATTTAACGGTTTTCTATGGACACTTTTAAATACACAGTCTGTACTCCTTACTTCTACACTCCATAAACTAGAGTATAAACTTGTCAGTTGTCAGATCTGTGCATAGATTAATGTGTATATACTATAGAGAGATCTGTGACTGTCATAATCAGGTTCTATCACCATTTTTCATTACTGTATCTAGGTTTTGAGAATTGTATTCCTTTTAAATGTTGTATTTAGGAATACTGTAATGAAATGAATGATACAAGATCGTTTGGTTATGAAAATGATGCCGAACCGCCAACACAGCCACCAGCTGTACCTGTGTCTCCGGTAAGTTGAGAATTGGGATTAAATGTGCATACTATGGGATATAAAGAAAAAAAATACGTACATAACAAATAACACTTTGTCGGATAGGCGCAGTACAGATTTTCGCCGGACGAGTTAAGGGTGTTAGCTGAATGCAACACCGAGAGTTTTCTGCAGCGGTCATTACCATTTGGTACTATTTTTGGCCTTGGTACTTATTTAGCTGTGCAAAAAGGTCAGTCAAAACTGGAAACAACCTAATTTTTTTTCTTTTATATTGTATCTTGCGTTAATTTTACGACATTTGGTGAAAGACATTGGCAACATATTTTTTTACTATTATAAGCTATGCAGTCGAAGAATGTAAAGCATTAACTTAGCTTAACAAAAACCTATTTATTCATGCCTTGAAGGTAGGCATAAGACAGATATATCAAAACAAATCTAAAATCCAATCTCCAATCTAATCAAATCTATTTGTTTTGATTTCTCAAACTAGAAGATCCAATTGCAAAAGTTGACCTAACTAAGCTAAACTCTTAAAATCTTTACCACCAAATGAATGGAAAGGAATGAAAAGTTGGTGTGAAATTTGGGATTTAGATTTCATTTTGTCTGCTATGCAAATCTATTACTATATTATTATATTTGCTTTGTGAGATTAAGCGTTGATGAATTTTTGGTTCCATGTTTGGGTGTTTGCTTACTTATTGTGACATAAACTTAAATTATCTATTCTTTGAATTTGCTATCAATATCCTTTTTATTACTAAGTTGCTAAAGATCATATTTGTGAGATTGTATGATGATTTATTTTTGTTCTTAGTTTGCAAATTTGATCCACGCTGGTCAATTGTATCAGTGAATTACAGGATATTTACTGATGTTTATTGCATGTTAGTAGAGTTTAGAGAAAAGAAAGTAAAAATTTGTTAATGAATTGTGTGTGAGTGAATATATAAGTGAGTAAGTTTATATAACATTCAAATATTTTTGATTTTGACTATCGAGGAAAATAAAAATAACAAAAAAACAAAATAAAAAATATATTTAGAAATAATTGTAAATATGCCAATTTTTAAATGCACTGGTAAAGTTTTCATTTCATACAAAACTTGTTTGCTAGTCCTAAGCCTAGAGTAAAGCATGAAGGATAATCGCACAAATCTGTTTCTGTATTATTTTTTTTAATAGAATAGGGTGACAAATGAGCACACAGTCCACTTGATGGTAAGTGGTTGCTGCGGCCCATAGACATCTGCATCTATCCTCGATTACGTTTGTTTTTTTGGGGGCTTTTGTTTTTTCTGGTTTTGGGGGTTTGTTTGCTTTAAAAAAAATCAAAATGCAGATGCGTTATCCGTGAGGACTAGGATGGAATGCCTCGTTTCCAGTAAAAAAGGTCTCCAGTTCTCTACACTCACCATATAAAATACAACAGCATTAAGCTACTATTTCATGCTGGTATTCTGTGAGAGCGTGGTCCTTCTCCGGTCGAGCCGAACCTTTTGTGCTACAACTATACTACTAATATAACTGCAGCATGGCTTTACCACATATAAATAATAAATATTTGCATTTGTTGTTTCGTTAGCTTATAAAATAAAATCGAAGTGCATAAACGAATTGGCGTGGTTAAGCATTACTGAAATCGTATTTTTTAAAACAGATTTTGAAATCGATTTTGAAATTTGAAATCAGGTATATATCGAAATATCTAAAACGCCTATGACTCCTTGAAGGCACTTACATTAGTTTAGTTTACGATGGGCTGTTTTCCGCAACTCCACGTCAAAGCGCGAATTTTGTGTGTGGGCAGGAATAATGTGATTATTCGAACCATGAAATCTCCACAAAGAAGTTCAACAGTCCTTTGATGTGGCAAGCAACTTCAGTGAAGGATCCCTGCATGCCAAGATGTTTAGCCCTGTATGAAGCGACCTCCAGACATGTCAGCAACATGTGAGCCGCCGTTTCTTCCACCCCCATGCATGCCCTGCACAAGGGGCTGGCTATTTGTAACACCTATGGCAAATTAATGTTTGTTAAAAGAGCCATGTCCTGTGATAGCACTTGTTACTATCCTGATCTGTGGCTTGTTCAGTCTCATTAGAACCTTGGTTAGACAACTGTTTATTTCAAGCAGGGCCTCCCTAGCTTGTCTACAGTCTACTATATTTTTCCAAAGCTGAGCGTGTAAATTACTAAAGTTTCTATGTACCAATGAACGAACATAGCCAAAGGGGATTGATATTATTGGTCCCGGCCCTATAGTCGCCAGAGCCGAACCCCTTCTGGCCAGTTCTCTGCTGCATTGTTGCCTCTAGATCCACTGTGTCGCTTAATTCATTACAGAGCCACATTGTTGTGCTTACATACCTCATTTAATTGTTGATGGCATTCACATATTAGTCCTGAGTTCACCACATTCTAACTCAGAGCTTGTAGTACTGCCATACTGTCGGAAAGTATTCTGATGGAGAATTCTTTTACCTTCCTAGCATCTAATGCAATGGTCGCTTGGATGATACCAATATATTCCGCCTGGAAGACTTTTATGGGTACCCAGCGGTGTATATATGTGGATATTAAGGTCTTCAGAGAAAGTTCCAGATCCTACGCCTTCATTTGTTTTAGAACTATCCGTGAAAACTCCAAGCTCTTTTGGGTTTAATCCCTCCGGCTGGTCAGTTTCATTTAATTGTATCTTGAACTTCTTAGCGAATACAAATTGTTTTGGGCTCTTATGGTTCTTGGCTTGTGAGATTTTTGAGTAAATTCTAACAATTATACCTGTATGAGGTACTTAAATGATGAACCAAACCATTTGGTTTTAATGTGTAGTATATCAACAACAAAGGGGTGGATACCAGCTGAACACCTTGCCGAAAAGGGAAGAATTAAGTCATGTAATTCCTGTGCACATTCTTGAGGTTTTACAAGTCTCAAACACTTAAAGTGTTTGAGACTTGTAAAACCTCTTTTGGTTCTAACCATATTGATGTCACCACTAAGTCTTATCACTAAGTACGAATCCTCTAGGTGGCATTTTGCAACATCAACGTATATCTATGTTATATATTGAATAATTGTTTACATTGAACTTTTTTTTCATGTGTAAATAATAAGTTCATAAATAATTGTAGCAAGTTTTTAAACACTTTTTGTAGAATTGAAATTGATACGAGGGTGACACTGAAAGTTTTCAGAACTGGCCACTTGTAAACGATATAATAAAAAAATAAGTTCAAATTTTGAAAATGGAACTCTTTGCCAATATTTTTGTTTACGATTTTGCGGCAAATTGAAGATTGTTTGTATCATGTCAGCATGAATTTAACGTGAGAAAATTTTGGTCCAATGATTTTTTTATGACTTTCCATGTCATTTAAGCCAACAAGAAAGTTATGATAGACTTCGATTGGCCTTTCGCGATGAAGCCCCATCTCGTGCCACTGGTTACAACTGGTTTATTGTGCTTAAACGTGGTCACACTAATCTCACCGATGATCTGCCTTCTACGATGACGACTGAAGAAACAGTCAGTGTTGTGCGGCGTATGATAGAGACTGACGAAATAGTGACTTATCAGCAGATTCGGACAAGCTTAGGCATCGGTATGAGTCAAGTTCACAAAATCCTTCATGAACATTTAGTGGTCATTAAGCTTTGTGCCCGGTGGATACCTCATAATTTGACGGAAGCCCAAAAACTCTGTCTTGATGATTGGTGTCGTGAAATGGTTCAAAGATTTAACGGAGCTGCCTCAAATGCTGTGTTCGACATACTTACAGGTGACGAAAGCTCGATTTATTGTTATGGTCCAGAAACTAAGAGTCAGTCTGCTGTCTGGGTGTTTCCTTCCTAAGAGTTGCTAACAAAAGCGAAGAGAGGTCGAAGTGTGTGAAAAAAGATGGTGGCCTCGTTCTTCGGAAGGACAAGTAAGTCATTACGCAACGATTGTTTTAGAGGATCGAAAAACATTTACTGCAGAGTGGTACACTAACAATTGCTTGCCACTTGTTTTGGGAAAAACTAGGGAGAAACGACCTCGCAGTAGGATTCTCGTTCACTACGACAACGCCCTGTCGCACACAACTAAGCAAACAATCTACTACTTCCTATGCGACGTCGGACGTGAAATTACTGGGTCACTCGCCCTATAGCCCTGACCTCGCACCCTGCGATTTTTATTTATTTCCGAAAATAAAAGAAAAACTTCGAGGAAAACGTATGGACGCCGAGGAAGCAGTGGCTGCGTTTCAAAATGCAGTCGAAGAGACACGTTTTCGAGTGGGCAAAGTGCTTTTCTCAGTG